CACACACACACACACACACACACACACACACACACACTTTGTACTTATACATGCATCTGTGTCTCTTAAATTACCATATTTAATTTTTATTTTTGATTTTCTCTCACTAGTCTTTATTTCCCTGTTGCTTTTATATTCTCTGTCTCCTGTATTACATTTCCTTATTCATGTCTGCTTCATTGTGCAAATAAGGTGGGCGGTCCTTCCTTGGCCAGCTCCTCTCCTATTGGTCAAGAGAGTGGAGGAAGCAGAAACCATGTGCAGATCTACTGTGCATGCTTGTGCCCCCTCAGTTTAGCATAAAGTTTCAGGTTTAGTTAAAAACAAAGGCAATTAGGAAAACACTTGACAGTACTGCTCATGAAAGATTCCTAGAAAGGGGACTTTCCATCCAACTACAGTACATGCCTCTGTGCAACATGGAAGCTCCTGTCTGTCATCACAGCAGCTGCTAAGATGAATAGCTGCACACTTATCCAAATGTAATAAAACTGCTATTTAAAAATATTTGTGTATATATGTTTATTAATCCAACATACAGTGCAGTAACATAATATATAATGTACCCTTGTTTTATAAATATAAATACAAAATGTTTGAAGCAAACTAAAAGAACTTACTTTAGTGAGCTGAAGGGTAAAATCATAAGACGTCTTGAGTGCAGACTCCTGCTGGTTGTAGTTCTGGTAAAAAGCCGGTGTTTATGTACTGTACTTGTGACTTCAGTAAACATCTCATATTTAGCTTTGTGCAACATGTTGTAGTGGTGAGTTTTATTAAAGTCMTCATGGCAGTGTGTCTAATATAAATAAACTAAACACATACGTTTGCCTTGCAATTCTGTGAGTCTACCTCCCATTTCACCTGAAACATGCAATTTTATCTGTTCAGACCTTATTGGTGGGCTGGTTGGAAATCAATGGATTGTAAAGATAATAACACATCTCTACAGCCCACCCCTGACTTATAACCTTCTCTGAATCCCTTAAAAGTCCTTATAATTCACCACTGATTTCCACAAGTGGAAATTAGATTGTTTTATTGTGGAAGATCCTGGTAAAAGGCTGTGTTATGAGTGCTCACAGCTTCTCCTGTGTTTTCACAGAGCTGTCCAGTGACCATCACTGAAGACTACAGTTGGTCACCAAAGATGGTTTTCTTCATAGGAATATCAGGATATTTAGTAGGCAAATGCTGTTCCATTGTTTACTTACAACTTATTTTCAAAGAGAATATGCAATCATAGAATATCTTATCTCAATTGTCAAAACTGTGGTATTTGTATAACTGGTGGAACTTGAACTTCCTCTAGCGGTATTCTTGAATTAGAGGCATTTGTTCTCGCACAGCTCAGCATTTCAATCAGGTAGATATCTAGGCTTTGACTGGGCCGTTTTGACAAGACCTTCATTTTTGTTGTTTTGTTTTCAGTCATTTGGTTGTAGAGTTGCTGCTGTTTTTGGGATCTTTGTTCTGTTGACCCTGTTTGGACAGCTTGCTGCTGTGTCTGCAGATGTCTCATCAAGGAACATCCATCACTGATCAACCTATTATTGTTTCAGATGACCTAACAGTCTGCCAGCAATACTGAATGATGAAACAGGATATAATACAAGTAGCAGTCAGGGGCCACAGGTATGATTGTCTTAGGGTCATCACTGAATGTTTTCACTGATCACTGTCTGTAATCACTGGGATAGTGTGTTCACATCAAACATATTTTGAGGGTCAGGTTTACATGCAAAGTCTATGGTGGACACTCATCAAGGAGCTTTGAGAAGTGCCATTTCACGCTTGACTTGTTTGCTGTAGACTTCTCCAAAAAGACATATGGTAGTACACTTTATAATTAGTGAAAKTGTTGTAAGTAGGAAGGGCAAAAGCTTGACAGACAAAGCAGCCTTTGCGGAGTTACAAAAATTCAAAAGGTGCACGACCACGTGCCAGGACACCGCGCAGGACCAACACGCAGGGGCAGGGACTGCGCAATTGCGTCACTATTGACGTGTGCCCCCCCGCACTCGGTGCGACACATCAACTATAAACCCAGTTTTACTCGCATCGAACACTGAGTTGGAAAATCTGAACTTTTGCAGCTCGACGCGTCAACCAATTTGAGACTCCACTGTGTGTGACGTAGTGACACATTTATAGACGGGATGGTTTCCACTAACCTGAGACAGATGGATAGAAGCTCTTTAGCTGAAATCAAGTGTCGTGTCCTGGCAGGAGATGCCGACAGCGATGTGGGTCAGCGGCTCGTCAAACTGGACTCGGGACAAAAATAGAGCTGGAAGTGAGCCTCGTTAGCTCACAGCTCCTAGGTGGTGAAACTCACTAAATTCAGAACATCTCTGAATTATCTGGTGAATTAATAATGAATCAATTATCAGGTGAGCGCGACATGATCCTGCTCTCAGTAAGTAAAGCAAAGACACTTTCTTTATCTCATCCGCCGTTAAACAGAGACCYGCAGAGGAGCCTCTCGACGCGTGTCAAGAGCAATTTTGACGAGCGTCTGACCTCAAAGTGAACAAATGTCCAACTTAAAGCAATGGATGTGTTTTTGACGCCCAAATCACGTTCGGTGTGAACACAGCACTAAAGGCTAAAGCCCTATCATGCAAAAAAGGAGCCATGTGAACATACGAACAGTTTGCTCTGGACCAAAGCTCTTTTAAAATTGAGGCAAAGTGGAAAAAAATTCTGTGATCAAAATTTTAAATTCTTTTTGGAAACCACATCCTCCATACAAAAGAAGGGAGGGACTATCCAGCCTGTTACCAGTGCACAGTTCAAAAGCCTGCCTCTCTGACAGTATGGGGGTACATTAGTGCCTATGTCGTGGGCAGCTCTCCTCTGGAAGGCAACTGTCAATGCAGAGCAGTTAAAAAAATAATGATCTCATCTAGCAAGAATGTCCAAGATAACCCAGGACTGTTGAACAGTGACAATCTTACTTTAGAAGAAAAGACCAGAACAAGACAACATTCAACTCCAAAAACTCCAGGAACAGGTCTCTATACTTGACTGGTTAGTTCTTGGTTTAAAAAGTCCAGATACCAAAACATGAACATTTATTTGTGCCTTTTGTTATCCCCTACTCTTTAGTTTTTGGGCTGCAGTTCAGACCACGTGAGAGAGAAAGAGAGAGAGAAAGATTAATCCAATAGGGTTTTTTCCCAAACATATTTTTCAATGTGATCTGTGCTCGGCTTTGCAAATTATTAATTATCAAATCTATGAAAACATTTTCTAATAAACTTCTGTTATTATAACTGTGTAAAACCATACTACACTGTAATAATTCCTCACCTATCTTAACTTCCGTTTTCTGCTAAACACTACTATCCCGAGTTTCATTTCGTCAGAATTTCCTTTTGATTATTCCTTCCAGTCTTGTTTGAAGCCCTCCTCTGCTTAAAGGTGGTGTCTCCTGTCAATCACCTGTCTTATCCAATGAGAGGACAGAATAAAAACTAAAGGGGCGGTGCATATGGCGGTTCACGCAGTTTTATAAAGAAGCTGTGTGTCTGTTTGCAGCCAAAGCAGTTTACGAAGGTAAAATATCGCCGAAAAGTATTTCAGGCATTTATTTTATTAGAAGCTAATTGTTACTTCGTGTATTTTATAATAAAATAGAAACGAATTGCTTGACTAAGTTAGCCGGGTTTGTTCCTCTTTTCCTTTCTTTTTTRCCCCCACATTTTTATTCGAAATACTGTTTTAAGTTCTCGACGTATTTGTTATACGACTACACGTGTACTCCGCTTGGGTTGTCCGTTGTTTGTGTGTTTTTATTGAAACTGGTTTTTGTGCAGAACAGGCCTTATTAGCTCGCAGACTTCAGAAGCTCGTAGTTTTACAATCCCCTCCTCCTGTCTTCATCATGGCTGTGGATGGATGTGGACTCGTTTGCAAGTATATCCTAATCATCTTCAACATCATCTTTGCGGTGAGTGCAGCATATTACGGTCATAACACACAGACACGTTTTATTACAAGATAAGGAGAAAAGATTTTGTAGCTTTTTGAGTGAGATCACAAAAACAGTTAAGATTTAATGGGGGGAATAAGTTTTATATCTTGTTTTTTTTATTATTCTGTGAAGCTGTAATTTTCTGTTTTCTGTGCAGGTTTAGTTATAGATGTGAAGTGGTGTAACTTTACTTTGTATGGATGTGTAATGTAGCCTGTAGTTACAGTAAACTTGTGTTGGTTTCCTCTCTCGTAGGTGGTGGGATTAGCATTTTTGGGTCTTGGCTTGTGGTTCAGATTCAGTGAAAGCACCAGGCCTCTCTTCAACATCGCAGAGTTCAACTCAAGTGCCTTTGTCATCGGTTAGTGCAACGATTACTCAAGCAGATTCTCWTCCACAATCAAAAGCTCATCAGTGCCTGATTGCTTCTGTTTTTCCCCCCTCGTCAGGAGTGACTGTACTGATAGTTCTCGGTGTAATAATGCTGATCGTGGTGACGTTCGGAGACTACGGTGCTTGCAACGAGAAAAGAGGTTCCTTGCAAGTGGTGAGACAGCTCTTCCTTGCATCACAATATCCTTTTCATATAAATACATGTTTGGATGAGTTACTGTTGTGCAACAATCACAAACAAGACATTTTTTATGAAGGACAAATGAAGATGGATCTYCATGTCTTTAGCTGTGCACTGCACACGTTATATTTTCATCTAAAATTTCACAAAATGGCACGTAGGACCCAGCAGCAGAAACCAAACAGAWTTCTTAACTGTTTTACATTATCTCATGTTTTGTTTTTTGTGACCTTGTTGTTGCAACAAGGAGCACAATAAATCCAGATGAAGGATCACTTACTGTGATTAAGTTAACACTACTGAACTCATTGTCTACTAGGMTTGGGCATAATCGTATCGTGTGCAATTAATTGTCAGAAAAACATTAATTGATTAATTTTTGGCACTTGACAATTAATACGATTAATGCCACCAGGCAGACTAACCGCTTGGTGCTCCTCTCTGATTTAAATATGACCAACATTAAAAAAAAWTGTGTAATTTATTTATCTATCAACACAATTTAAAGTTTGATGTGTAGCCTGAAGTCTGTAATTTTGACACAATTTGGAACAGATGAAGAGCCAAATTTCTCCCTATAAATTGGTCATGTGACTAGGATACAAGGGTGTCCAGGGACTCCAGGGGATTAATCGTCAAGTTAATCGTTATCGGCTAAATACCACAATTAATCGTGATTAATTTTTTTGCCAATATTGCCCAACCCTATTGTCTACTTTAGGGCTGCAACAACGAATCGATAAAATCAATAAAAATCGATTATTAAAAGCGTTGGCAACGAATTTCATTATCGATTCGTTGTGTCACGGGATTTATGCGTCCCTCGCCGTGTCGCAGAGCAGATTACGTCACCCGCACAGCGTTGTCAATGCTAGCTGACCTAAATAAAGTTTAGGAAGAAAGAAAAAACTCTACCTGTAAAGAGCTGCCCRCTCTGACTCTCCAGTGAAAAGCAGAGACTACGAACTTAAACCAGTTTTTAAATTGTGTTGTTAGGCCAAGTAGATCTGAAGATATGATAAAAAGTATCTGCTACATTTATTCTTTTTAAAAGACGTCTGATTTGATGTGCGCCTCGTCGCGAGGAGGAAGTGCGTGCGGAGGAGGAGGGAGACCTTAAATCCAACGTTTCATCCTCCTCTCGGGCCAAAATTATAAAAACTCTCCAATTTTTTCTGACTGAGGCCCAAAGTTATTTGTTGAGCAGCAAAAAGTTTCAGGACGAAGGGGGAAAAAAAAGACGCGATCGAGCAGCAGGTCTGCAGGGAGAGGGGAGGAGGAGGGGGGCTGCTTCAGAACCGGTTACTGGGTCAGAACAACGTTTTAGTCAAACAGAACCAACAAGAATGAAACAAAAAGTAAAGAATTAG